GTGATGTTGCACTGCATAGGCTAATGTGCTATATCTACTCCACAATCGACGTCGTGCAATCAGGTTTCATCGGAGATGATCCCCAACATTGCAAACTCTGGTTGTTTGCCGACAGTGACCATGCTGGAGAGCATGATAGTCGTTCAACTTCAGGTTGCATTCTGGCCATGGTAGGTCCAAACACCTACTTTCCCCTTACTGCGTTTTCGAAAAAGCAAACGGCCACCGCCATGAGCTCGACGGAAGCGGAAGTAATCGCCGCTAACCTGTCGATTCGCACAGTTGGTTTACCTTCCTCCTGTCTTTGGCAAGTCATACGGCAGGCGGGGGGAGTCACAAACGCCAATGTGCAAAGCTCGGCCGTGGGGACACGTGCCCGGAACGCGAAAGTCGATGTTTGGGAGTTTGATCCATTGAAAGATCAGGTGATTAGGAGACATGTTGAACCCAGACACACCCTATTTGACCCAAGAGACTGTGACGACTGCCCAGTCGATCACAAGTTCCTGTCAGCCCAAAGGATCACGATTGCACAATTCAAGGATGGCACCTTTGATGCAGACGTGAGCTGGGATTGGTCCAGCAGGGAAGGACAGAGAGTCATGAAAGGGGAATGGACGGGTATGACTATTTTCCGAGTGCCTGGCCCGAATGAAATCGATTATGGTGTTGAATCACGAGAAATTAGGAACGCACTCACTGACTCATGTTACGTTGGTCAAGGTCGGGAAGGTTCCATGGACATTTACCTCATAGGTAAAGGAGCTTTCGAAATCGTGTTTCTGGAAGACAATCAGGCGACCATTAGGATCCTTGAATCAGGCAGGTCACCCGCCTTCCGGCACGCAGACAAGACGCAACGACTGAACCTTGCATGGTTAGCTGAACAGTTCCAACGGAAACATTTCACGCTTGTTTATGTTCCATCACTTCTTCAAGCAGCGGACATTTTCACCAAGCCATTCACCAGTACCGAGAAGTGGAATCAACTACTTAAGTTGCTGGGATTGCATGCCGCTTCGTCCATACCGGCAGGTGCGCCCAAGACCGATGCACCTCACCCGGGGGGACCCGTGGCCGCTGCAACGCCTGGACCTCACAATCGAGTACTGCTTGAAGTGTGTTGCAGTCCTGAATCTAAACTTGGTGATGTATCTCGCAAGTCCACGTCAGGCTGCATGGTGATTCGTGTCACCAAAGATGATGATGTCCTTGACCCACAAACGCGAAAACGTATCGTCAGACAAGTTTTGTCCAGTATCCGTGAGCTTCCTAAAGGACGACGCTTACTCGTGTGGGCAAGTTTGCCTTGTACAGGTGGTACTCCATGGATTCACGTGAACAAAACAATACCATCAGCAGCGATCAAGGTCGATGAACATCAACGCGAGTTTAGGAAACTATGGAACGCATTAATTGACCTTGTCAATTCGCTTCGTGCAGCTGATCCGTTTATCGCCATTGAATGGCCTAAGAATTGCGTGTACTGGAAACTCGAATATGTTCTGTCATTCTGTCAGCGTCATTCGATGAGTCAGGTCACGTTTGACGGATGCATGATTGGTGTTGTTGATGTACACGGTGTCCCAATTAGGAAGCCTTGGAAAATATGTACCAATTTAGAGCCTATTCTTAAATCGTTTGAAAGCAAGCAATGCAGTGAAGATCATGAGCACGCTGAGGGTCGTGGTGAGTCATTGAAACGCACGGAAACTTACACTTTCCAGATGACGGATATGATTCACCGAGCCTTTGGCGTTGCCGTGACCAATTAACTCAAGCTCGTGCCCGGGGACGGTCTGCCTACTTCGTTTGTGCCTTCCTTTCCTGATTCGCATCATGACTATGCCTTCCTTTGGATGTGAGACGGATGCCGTGGACTTCTTCCTCAATCATCCTGGGATGTACGTGGCTCCATCTTCGCAGCCCACTGAGGCAGGAAATGACGGGAATTGGAAAGATTTGTTGAAGCGCACGGCCATTCTCGCCCACCTTGTCGAATCGATGCATGATGGACGTGCCCACTTGGATGCTATCTACGGGGCTGATCCTTTTGACGCCTGTGCTAAGTCACTTGGCCGCATCGACAAAGCGCATCGCGAGTTCTTGGAATGCAATCCGGCTCGTTTGATGACGCAGCTACCTTGCCCGGGGGGACCCGTGGTCGATTTCATTTTTGCCGGCGACTCGTCAATGGCACTTGTGGATGAAACTGTGGATTCTGAAGGCAAGACCACGCGCGTCAAGCGCAACGTGGGCGAATACCTGAAGGAGGCCGGACCGTCACTCCTGACGGATCGCGCAGGTAGTGTTCAATACAGCCTGCATTGGGGCCGTGGCCTGGAAGCGATCATTGACGGAATAGAGGCTTGTCTTGACAACGGAAGGCGTCGCACACCGGGAGGTGTAAGACAAAATAATTTCATTTCAACCTTTTTTTTTGAAACCAACTTTTTTTTGGAGATAATAAACCATGTTGCCACAGTGTACATGTGTCAAAGTATGATAATCAACTCTGGGTCTTGGTCCTTCTGGCTCAAGCAAAAGCTACCCAGCTGGAGCGCAAGTTGGCCAGAGATGGCCCCAAAGCAACGGGGGTCCTCCAGGTCAACCTTGCGACCAAGATATATCTGGGTGCCCAAATTTGGCTCGGTGCCAGAAGAGTCAGAGCAAGACCAGAATCCTACCCAAACTTGGGCGGATCCCTGGTTGACTGATGGTCCTACCCAATCCTGGGCGGACTCATGTCCCTGGCCGGATTCAAGCGATTATCCTAGCCAGGAAAATAACCAAGCGGGGTCTAGCCAAGATGCGCCAGGGACTGAGGCTCCGCCATGGTCAGGCCCAGGGCCAGAGCCAAGCAAGTCGAATCACAACGATTCAGTTTCAATGTTTCAATGTTTCATGTTTCTTCCCAAGCCTCCTGGAGTCCAATTGGGCGGCCACAAATGCAGGTTTAAGGCGGTTGCGCGCGGTGTCGGACTCTGGCAGGGCTTGTCCTCAACGAGGAGAGGACCGAATGGATTTTCAAGCCATAGATTTCACTTTTCCTTCTCAGATCCCAAGGCAGCTGAAAACGGATTGCAACCCCTATTCAGTTTCAATGTTTCATGCGACGAATGGTTGTTCATCATAAAAGTACTTTAGTTTCAGAGCAATTATTGTTTGACTTGTCATGACATTCACACAATCATATGATTGAAATCGGAGACATGCATCATCATGGCACCATGATGGCGCAAATTCGAACAAGCCACACTAGGGTCTAAGAAGACCTTGAACAGCTCATTGGGAGCATTGTGGAGGACATAACCATAATTGGCAGCTCAGACGAGGATGGCTCCGATATTGAGATGATGGAGGCGCCAAAAAGCTCACCTCCGCGACCACCAAGGCCTGGTTCCGGGCACATAATGATGCAGTGATGTGGATGATATATCATTTTGTGGGAACCGGTTAGGGTGATAAATCTATTTTACAAGACCTTCAAGTATATTCAAAAGCGCAAGTTTTGGGACACTGAATCATTTCATATCAAAGCCGACTCATCCGCTAGGCAGCTGCAAATATCCGTATCGGATCCAGGGCCTGCTCCTTGGGAAGGCGCCTTGCAAGCCAGTTCAAGTTTGTGTGACTTGGTCATCGACAAAATTGAAGAAGAAGGCGCCAACCAGATTCAGTGCCTTCCCCACCACTTCATGGAGTTTTATTCACCTCCACGGGTGGCACTGCCGCTACGAAGAACTGGCTTCTTCGCGCGGTACAGTTTTGATTTGATGACTGGCTACGATTTCTTGAAGTTTGAAGATCGCGCCAGAGCACTGAGATTGTATGAGACGCATGCACCTTTTTTCGTCATGCTATCTCCGCCATGCACTATGTTCAGCAAAATGCAAAACCTAAATTTGAAAAAATGCAGCCGCAGATTCGCAAACAGAGGTTTGCAGATGCCAACTGCATGCTGGATTTTGCCATGCATATTGCCGATCGGCAGCTGAGAGGCAACCGTTTCTTCTGTCATGAACATCCACCGGGCGCATCCAGTTGGCGCAGAGCATCAATAGCCGAACTTGCAAACAAACCCAATGTGTTCCTGATTTCTTTTGACCAGTGTCGAACTGGTCTGAGGACTCCTTCCGGCTTGAAACCTATCAAAAAAGGACGGTTCTGATGACCAACAGCCGGGAGATCCACAACATCTTTTCTCCCCTCCAGTGCAATTGCACCGAGGAGCACGCAGTGATCCAAGGCTCCGAATCGGGTCTTCAACTCTCTTCATGGTGCCAAGTGTATTCCCCGGAATTGGTGGACCACCTGGCAGACGCTGTGCGGTTGGAGTGGGCCCAGCAGTCTGGGACTGCCGCCCTGACTCCAGGATAAGCTCATCAAGCTGAGGATGGTTGCAAGCGGCCATTTGAATCAAGCCCACTTGCGCATAGTGATGGGTGGCGGCTGAGTAGTATGATTGGGAACATATTGAATATGGACATGACTTGGCACTCACGGGCGGAAAAAAAGACCATGGCATCGAACCGCGCCAGCGCCAGACTATCAAACAAGTCACCATCAGACCCTCAGAAACCATGATTTGAGTCCATTTCGCGACGATCTAGGGGGGTCACTTTTCGACCCCCCCAGTTAGTCACGTTTCGTTTGAAACGCGACGATCTCTTGATCTAGGTTATACAAACGCGACGATCTAAGGTTTCATTTTTCGATCCCCCCAGTTAGTCACGATCCAGGGTTTGGGCTGGGAGTTAGTCACGTTTCGTTTGAAACGCGACGATCTGGGGGGGTCACTTTTCGACCCCCCCAGTTAGTCGCAAAATGGGTTTTTAACGTTGAGTTAGAATTCTGGTGGCTTTCCCAAAGCTTGGGCTCGGTAAGGAGACCGGGTAGTCAAGAAGCATGGCATGGTGTCAGGCAAGCCAACAGAAAAAGTCCAATAGTAACAAGTTAGGCTAGGCACATTCCCCGGCAGGGTTGGTCGCCCAGACGCCATGGATGTGAAGGAAGAGATGAAAGAGGACCCAGAGAATAACAAGAAATCAGAGCCCGAGGCTCCAGAGGACGTGGCCATGAAACCATCTACTATCCTCCGGACATCAGGCCCCTCACCCACCTGCAGCATCAATGGCAATCACTGAAGCTAACTTCAAGGAAGTCGCTTGGACAGCCATGAACTTCCACCTCGAGGCTTGTGGAGGTCCAGTGCAATATGCGCGAACTGGGCAGCCCAGGAAACTTGAAATGGAAAGATTTCGCTGAGCAGCTTCAGGTGGCCTTTCCCAGGCGGACCGATTTGTCCTACCTGGAGAGCCTTGAGTTGCCTCGGGGCCACGACCCGAGTGAGACGTTTCGGGTGTCTTTGTGGCAACTGGGCTTTGTGGAGTGCTGCAGCTCCAAGCCTATGACTTTTAGAGTCACGGCAGCGGCCCTGGCAGACGAGTATTTAACGAACACTTGTCTGACTGCACAGGAGCCTTTGCTTCTGTATCAGCAGCCCTTTGACCTGCCCTCGGAGTTCAAATACTCTGAGGAGCTTGAGGCGGGGGCGTTGTTTTGGACCCACTAGCTGAAAGGGGCTGCTCGTGCTACCAGCATGCTGATGCTGGCGCACGTTATTTTGAATGAGTTGAAAGTCGACGTGCAGCTTTTGAATCCAAGCTTGCACCAATCCTTGCTAGCAGTGTATTGCCGACTTGGCACTGCCGCAAGTGATTCAGCAACCATCGCCATGGAGAACGCACGGTTGTCCGCTCGCGGAGTAATCCGTAAGGCCCATGACGTCATCACATGGGCGGGCAAGCTGCATACCCTTAAATTGCAAGGACTGCAGCCAGCCGAAATCATCAACAAATACAACGAAAGTGCCACGAAGGACTCGGCCATCCAGGGGGCCAAAAGGATGGGCCTGGTGGCACTCTTGGATTTCCCCGAGCAGTGCCTATCCTTGTTGCTACAGCACGTATCCGAATTTGGATTTGATGGCTGCGCATTCAATGAGACCGCTTTTAGCAACAAGAAGCCCATGCCTGGCTTTCAGCCGCGTGCAAACAGCGACCGAGCATGGCAGAAAAGGCTAGCGGCAACATCCGAAGGCTACGAATTGCTGGTCCGCTACGTGCATTGTTCACACGCGCGCAAACCCAGTGCAATTCGCTCCAAATTGGACACGGCTGCAATGACCGAGGCAACGCAAATGAGTCAGCTCTTGATTTCATGTTTGCAGGAAATCCAAGACCAGCACGCTTTGCCCGGGGGAGCGAAAGACAAAATCCTACAAGACTTCGTGGATGGAGACAACAACCTGGAGCTGGAATTACAAGGCGCCATCTCAGAATTGAAAAAGGGATGGCAGCCTGCTGAGCTGACACCTTTCAGAGAGCTTATCGCTACTTGCATAGCCAACCGCGATGGCAAATTGGAAGCGCTGGGGAAAGGCCGCTGGGCAGCTTGAAAACAGGCTTTTGGAGTGCTATACTATCATCTTTGCAGCATGGCGTAGACATTTATGCAGTCTGGAAGGCCAAGTGCCTGGATCGTGACTCGGTGGTTCACTTTCAACGCCTAAGTCACACATCAGCCAGGCACACTCGAGCCCGAGAGATCGCAGACTCAGTGATCTCAGAGGATCGTGGGCTCGGGTGGCAAACCTCCCTGAAGAAGTTCGAAAGTGTGGACGCCACATCGCAATGTGGAACGAAGCCTGCAACTGGTTTTGCAAAGGAGAGCGGCGATCTGGATCCAGCACATGAGTCCAAACACCTACCTTCTTAAGTGGCCACCTCAGAATACCATGAGGCGCCAGTCAGGGCTACCTCGGATTGGAGGCGCCACATGACAGCCAGACCGAGGCCCACGGCAGGTGGAGGAAAAAAGTGGCTTAGCGCGGGGGCGGGTCAGGGACCTGGGAGGTTAAGTCTTTGTGTTCTCACAAAATTTAAATAGAAAAAACAGTCGATTTCAAAAAAAAAAAGTCGAAATGAAAAAAATACACCTTGTGTTGCCCCAGCGGTCATCGTGGTATCATATGCCGGCAATGATGTCTACGGCAACCACGGATTTGTGGGCAACCCTTGGGTGGACACCAACGTGCTCCACCGGAATCCTGCCAAGCAGAGAGCAGCCTATGAATGGCAGGCAGAGCTGGCACAAAAACACGCCCAGCAGATGAGGCGTCTGGCGGACTTGAGGCAGAGGAGAGATGTGGCAGCCCTGATCGTCATCTGCTACTGCGACTCGCAGAGTTATGGACTGCCGGAAGAATTCGCCCGTCAAATGTGCCAGTCAGCGGATGTCTTCACTCGCCTTGGCGTCACGAATGTGACAGGCACCACCCTGGTTCGATCGTGTCAGAGGTATGACAACTTCCACTGCCACAACACCGAGGAGAACCGGGCGATGTTCGCGAAGTTCTACGCTAACGTTGCTTTGTTTGCCTACCACTATTGGGTGCTCGCTGGCGTTGATGTATTGCGCAAAGACGCGAACCTCTTCGCGAAACCTCGTGGGGAGAAAACCAACCGCCAGTATATGCTTGAGCACATCTGGAAGCGGCGCATTGACTCCGGGTACCTCTTCTTGGGTGACTTTGACGAGCACGATGAGCTTATCCCGGGACAGAAGAGACAGACTGCCATCGACCAAAAGAATGGCTGGCTCCTGACGGTCTCTGAGACTACCGAGGTCGCTCACATGGATGATCTTGGGGACCCCGTCTACGCGACTAAGGAGCAGATTGCAGCTGCCAAGCTCTTGCCATTCAATCAGCGACTCTACAATATGCCACGGGGAACCGTTGGTCCGGATGTCTATGACGAGGGTCAGGATGTGCAAGTCCCGGCTGAACCGTCGACGGCTGATCAGACAATGCCGGATGCAAGTGTGCCGGAAGTCATCGAGATTGACGACACCTTTGCGCCCAGCGCTGATTCGCCTCCGGGGACGGAAGGTCGAGATGCAAACAACCAGGCTCCCGTGAGCACTCCGGGCATGGAGTTCGTGTCTGTCACCGCTGATATGCCAAAGCACGGTGACACCGAGGTGGACCCTGTTACCATCACGGAAGAAGAGGAGCTTCATGTATCCAATGAACCCATTGCGGATGAAAACTATGTCAATGAACTTCTCAAAGATCACCTTGACTCCGCCATCAAACAAGGCTTTGAAAACAAAGATCAGCCAGATGATGACTCAGATGAGGAGATTGTGTTCAAGGAACCGATTCTCACATCTATGCATGCCGATTCATGTCAGGTCGCCGGGGTAACCTACCAGTTGAGGAAGAAGGAGGATGAAAGCGATGTCATTCGCATCTATATGGCGGAAGAAGACATCCCTCAGCTCACTGGTGAGGCACTCAGGAAGTTCCGTGAGGTTACAACTCTGGGGAACGAGCCCGACCTGGCCAACAAGGCACCACAACCGAGGATCCCAAAGGCGAAGGCATCAGGTGAGCCGGGGGCACCAAAAGTGCCAAGCGAGACTGCAAAGTCGAAAACAAAACCGGCATCACCGAAGGCAAAAGCACGCCCGGCGGGAGCTGAGGCCGATGTTGAGATGAAGCCAACAGAGGAAACTCAGCCCAAAGTACCAAAACGCCCGGCGGGAGCTGTGGCCTCGGATTCGACCCCGACAGCAAAACCAGCTGTCAAAGCCAAGGCCATGCCTCGGGCACCACCGGTGCCTCCCGTTTCGTCGCCTCTTGGGGAAAACGAAGTTGTGGCATTGCAGTCAAGATCGGTTCCGGGTGCTGCCCTATAGATCAGCCGAGGTTAAAAAGAACCTTTGAGGTTATGCTCTTGGAATAGGCCTATTCCATTGAATAACATCAAAATTTTCAAGTTATCAAATAACCTCAAAAGCAAAGTTATTGTTATAAATAACCTCCAGAAGTGCGATGTTATTCTCAGGAATAGACTCAAGAAGTACACATTATCCTTGAAATATTGAAGCAAATATTTGACCATATATTGGCAAATGAATGATCAAATGTTTGCAAATATGTGCATTTCTCATCTGGTTCATGAACACACCATCACAAATTGTGGCATACTTCAACAAATATTTGAGCAAACATTTGCAAATTCATTACCAACTACTTCAAATCCAAAACTTGAAAGAAAGTCATTAACCCCACAAATTGTGCATATCTCAGGAAACATTTGAACCAGATATTTGAATCAATTGTCACCAAATTTTCCACATGTTGGAACTGATCACCAAAAAATGCTGAGCTGTGAAGAGAACATTTGACCAAATATTTTCAATTATTTGGAGTAACCATCACAAAAGCTATATGCAAATGTCAACATGTTGAATCAGCAGCATTTTTTCCTCAAGGCTGGGACCACAGCATATGCTGTGCAATCCTCCAGTGTTCCATAATCTTGTAGGAGATCTCTTGGGGTTTGTTGCCCCTTGTGCAGGACTGAGCAAGTCTCTGCATGATAGACATGAAATCTTCACCTTGGAAGACCCATGTAAATCTGGGTGAAACAAATTTGGCATCTATGGCAGCATGGCACATAAAGTGCATTTTGGCAGTCACATTGAACATGTTCTGGGGCACTTCTGAATCTTCATGAAAATGGGCATTTAGCACACAAGCTAAATGTCCCAGCTGAAAGACCAGCTTCTCAAACTGGCTGGCATCTGCCTCACCTCACAACAAAAGGGTCTGGCATCAGGAATATAGAAAATGTGCAGTTTTTTAAACATATGCCCTTCAATGATATAACACTCTTATAAGAAAACATTTGACAAGAAAGCAGAAGGCAGCCCAGGAACTAAAGCAAAGATTGCCAAAGTTATCTTCCAGCAAGTCTTCAATTTGACAATTCAATTTCAAGTACACCAGCACCAAAGAATGAACTTCTAAATGTTCATTGCACATGGACTGCCAAATGGCAAGCAACGGTTTGGCTAGGGCTCTGATGTTGGCAGCTTTGCCCTTGAGTTTGATGCCCTTCTTGTTCATGAACATAGAGGTAGTGTGGAAACTGCCATAGCAATCCTTAATGTTGAACTCCTTGTACTTCTCTTTCAACAGTCTAAAGAACAGTGTCAGGTTCTTCTTGGCAGAGCCTTCTTTCATTAGATGGTAGATCAAAAGGAAAACCACTGATCCCAGGCAATATTGATCATGTCCAAGGTATTTGCAGTGCATCCAATCAGCTGCCACATTGGCACCGGTCAAATGGAGAATTTTGAAGATGCAAGACTTACTTCTTCCTGCCCAAGCCATCCAATCTGATGGCTGCCAAATCAAAGTTTTCCAGTGGGCATTGGGTAGGAAAGTTTTCCAGGTGGCATCCCCTGCACCTTGTGCTTGGCACATGGAGCAGCAGTTACCTTTTTTGCCATGATGAGGAAGTTGTAAAGTCTTGTTCAGGTAGTCCAAATCACCAACAAGAGAGCAAAGTACTCCATAGAAGCCATTGGCTAATGGCTTGCCTGCCATTTTGCCATGCTCAGAGTTTGGATGAAATGGTTTGCCATTCCAATCACAATCTGGAAAAGTTCCTGCCAACAAGGCATTGAAGCTCCATGCCAGAATAGTGAATACTGAATCCAATGTGGATCGTTCACCTTCCCTCAGCAACTTCTCAAAGGCCTGAGTGGCAGCAATGCCTTGCTATATCATAAAAAAAGGCAAACCAAAAAGCAAGCTTTGAAGCCAAAATATTTGTGCAAATATTTGCCAGATAATAATATTTTGCAAATACATTCATCACACCAAAAAAATTACTAATAGTTGCTCAAAATATTTGCAAATATGTGAATCAAATATGTCTTTCAAATATTTTTGAAAACCTTGTGCAAAAAAATGAAGCCCCAAGAAAATACAACCCACAACAGAAACAAAACCTTTGGCAACCCAGCTGCCACATACATCACATAGCAGTTTGCCCTGGAGGATGCATTGTTCAAAAGACCAGACCAGCTCATCACCAACATCCCCTTGCTCCAAACTTTACCTATACCAGTTACTGGCATGGCATCTCCATGCACCTTCAATGGCAGAGCCTTTTTGAAACTGTCACTTCTTTGAAGTGCTGGGTGCCCCTTCATTGAAACATGCTTGCTGAACTTCTGCCAAAAGCTTTCAAGACTGTGTGGTGGCTGAGGCAAGAAGTGCTTGAAGAAAGTCTCCCTGTAGTTCTTGTACATGCAATGGAAATGCAGGTGTGGTAGCTGAATATTCTGCAGGAATAGACCACCTTTCCTTGGAAAATTGCTGTGAATTGTTTCAAAAATGAAGACCATATGGCATTATAAAGAAATATCTACAATCTACAAATCAAAAAGTGATGAAACCACATACAAGGCTTCATTGGAATCTTCAGGGCCAAACCATGGGGCAGTGGAGAAGTTGGCTCCAACTCTTTCAGGAGATCTCTATGCATGTTGTTCTCATACATGCCACTACTGCCAAGATTGGCCAGCTTCAGCAATGATGCTGGTGCTTTGGCATTTGCAGCTTCAAAGTCATGTTTGGTTAGCATTGCAATCTTCTGGACTGTTTGAGGGCTCAAAAATCCCTCAGCCCATTGCCTATGCAGCCATGTTGCTAACAAAGAATTTTGTCCCCTTTCCTCTGGAAGAGGAGACTGCGATTCAGCCAGCCTTTGCTGGATACCACCCTGTCTCCTTCTTTTTACCATGGCCAGCCAAAATGACCAGCTGTAGTTAACACAATATCTTCCAAATGTTGGTTTTACTTCTTTGGCTACCTATATCTTCCAATATCTTTCCAATACCAATACAATATCTTTCCAATATCTCTCCAATAACAATAACATATTCACAAATAATCTGGAGCCAAGCGCAGAAAATATAATCATGATGGCCACATGCACAAGCACAACTTCAGCACAGAAAGCACAAGCTCCACCAAAGGCAACCTCTAAGCAACATTGTTCCTTTCTGCAGCTGAGGAGACATGCTTGTCACATGGTCTAGGTGGAAAACTTGCCACATGTTCAGGCCAAAAGCTATAGCACAAAATTTGCTATGCACCGGTTCACTTGCTGCTGCCACCCCTGGCTTTGATGGCAGCTTTGACTTGCTCCATTTTCTCATAGGCCTTTGAAGTACTCTCAGCAAGGCTCATCATCAAATCATCCATGGTCTTCTTGGTCAGAGGTCCATCAGGAAACTCTTGCCATGTCAAGATGTTTGCCAGCTTGCTGGCATTCCCTTGCAAAGTGCCACAGGCTTCTTTATACTCAGTCCTCAGGTCAGGAAACTTCTGCAAAGTGGGAAGAACTTTTGACACATCCTTTAGCAGCTTTTCCTGAGCTTGCTTTGCCTCTTGCAAGGTGGAGACAATCTTGTCAAAGGAAAGGGCTACATCATCTTTGCTTCCTGATGCCAAGGCCAGCTGTGTCTTTTTGGAGCTGCCATCCTCCAGGCCTTTGACCTTGTTGGTCCAATCACCCCAGGAAGACACAGCCACAGATTGCATTCCCTTCTCCATTGAAGAATGCTCCTTTTGGGTCAGCCCAACCCTTCCTGAAGAGAGAGCCATTTCCTTGTTGAACTCCTTCTTTCTCCCAGAGGTGTTGCTCCTGAAGCCATACAGGGCAGGGCCACCCTCCTGCTGTTCAACAAAGATCTCTCCATCATCTAGTGCCTGAAGGAAGGCAGGTTCATTGCCACCATACCAGTGATGCAACATGATTGACCTTGGAAAGGAGTTGTTCTGGTCAACCCCAAATTTTGTGTCATTCGCAGTGGTCTTCATCTCAAAGGCTGGGTCATTTGTTTGCATAGACCAGTTGCCATGCTTGTCCTTCTTAAAGAGCTTGCTAAGAAGGGAGGTCTTGCCTGCTCTTGTAGGCTCTGAGTCTACCACCCGCAAGATCTGATCTGGAATCCTTCCCTGTTTCCTCATGGTGGAAAACTTCAAGCCCACATACTTGTTCCTCTTGGAAGTGCCTTCAGGATCAGTTTCTGGATCATCTTCAAACCCTTCCTCTTCTTCACCCTCTTCAGAAGCCTGCTTTGGCTCAGCCATGCCTTGCTGCCATTTTGTGCACAAAGCCAAAAGACTATTTTTGGCATGCTTAGGCTGACTTGAACTGCTGCCAGCAGCTGGCCTCTTGAGGGAACCACTGGTGCTGTCATGCCCTCCTGTGTCTTTCACACCAGGCTTTTTCAGCACTTTCTTCAAAGCTGCTGCCTTTGTCTTTGCCTTTGCCTTTGCCTTTGCCTTGGGACCGGTGTTTCCCAGACTCTTCATTGCAGCCTTCATGGGTGTTCTCTTCATGGGTGTGCTCTTCTTAGGTGAGGCAGCTGTCTTTGATTTGGCAGGACTTGCAGGCTTCACCTTGGCACCTGGCTTCTTCTTGGCACCTGGCTTCAATCCTGTCTCTGCAACTTCTTCTGCCTTATCTTGTGACATGTGATCAGGATCATTGCCCTCACCTGCACCTTGCTTTGGTGCCATAACAGGGCTTTGTGGTAGATACCTGCTGGTCTTCAGCTCAGGTGTTTGATAGCTGAACATTGTGCTGCCAAGCAATGCATGCAGAAATGATTTGACACATATGTTAAATGTCAATGGAAAGGAACAAATGTTTGATAGATTGGCAGCAAATAGAATTGAAAGGGCTCAGAATGCGTAAAATGTATTTCTAATAGGTGGGGTGTCAATAGATCTCAACCAAATATGAAATATGTTTCAATTAGGTGGGGTGCCAATAAATCTCAAATACATATCAAATATTTTTCAAATAGGTGGGATGCAAATAAATCTCAAATACATATCAAATATGTCTCAAATAGCTGAGTGCAAATAGATTTCAAATAAATCAACTATGTTTCAAATACATGTAGCATACAAATAAACTGTACAGTTGTTCAAATAGATGTAGTATTAGTATAGAAGGTATTAAAGTTGCTGGTGGCAAACAGATGCATCAAATAGATCTTACATAGATGGAATGAATGTTTCAAGCCTTTCACCATATACACAAACCTTTCCACAAAGCACAAGCAAACAGTAGTGACATTCAGTGTACACAGTCACCAGCAGCTCTTTTTTTTCACACCCACAGGGTTCAAAAGCTCTTGAAGTCAGTGGATTCCTGTGATCCACACAGTGATTCACCACCTGTTCTAGATGGGCCTGTGCTGGAAAAAATCGTAGAATTCACTTGGGATGGCATTGTTGGGAGGTGGCCCACCCTGCTCCAGCTCAAAATAGCTCTTCCTCAGAAATTATAAGCAGGGCCATTGGCCAACAAAACAAATGCGTATGTATTATTATGTATTCCATATTTACACTGCACAATGCATATTTCACAACTCCCACCATGAAGAGCCTAGTGTCCAAATCTTTTGGCCACCTTTCAATTCTTTCACCCTCCATTTAGCACCTCCATGCTCAGCTGTGTAGGTCCTCAAGGTGAAGCTACTGTAGTTGTTGGGGGTCAGCCTTAGAATGTAAATGGCTGTGATGACACACTTTCCAAGTCACCAAGCTTAACTTCTAGTATGTGTCTTTCTTTCAAAATTAGACATATGGTTTCTTGTTTGGCCAAGACACCATGTTTCCCATCCACTTGCCCAAACCACAATCGCACAATCATTCTTCACCTTCATTCCAACAATATGGTCTACCCTTCTGGCCATGGCAATGGCACAGTCTCTCCACTATAGTGGATTCAATCTACCAAAGAGTTTTACTTAGAATTGTTGCATTGTCAATGTCATGTGCTAAACATCAATGACAATGTATTGAGCCTGCAAGGGTCCACACAATGGTTGAATCAGCTAATTATTCATGCCAATTGCATCACAATCTGACACATTTTTGACACAAACCAAGTGAAAAAAAGTAAAATAATATTCCAAAATGTATGTACTTTGTATGTACTTTGTATGTACTTTGTATGTAGTTTATATGTACTTTTAGAAAGTACATACAAAGTACATAGGTATGTATGTACTTTTGAAAACTACATACAAAGTACATACAAAGTACATACAAAGTACATACAAAGTACATACATGTTTTCTTTAAAATACTTCAAAAACAGATAGTGTTTTCAAGCTTTTTGTTTGGTACCTATATACATATTTTTTCTTCCAACAAAATGGTTGACTGCAGATTTTTTCAGCTGCTCTGCAATGGAACTCTTCAGAGTCTTCTTTGGCATGCACCATTTGGATCCTGCCATGCGCAAGCAGTGAACTTGGTCTAGACAAATATTTTCAAGCAAATAATTTCACTGCATCAGGTAGTACAAAACAGATGTCAAAGCTATAATCTAGATTCTGAATAGTTGTCAAATACATCATTGGTCACTAGGTGCAGTCACCTTAGGCAACTGGTGCAGATGAATCATCTTGTCCTGAGTAGATTGATTTATCAAATTGATAATCGCAAATGTTCTCAACCCAGATATATTTGGTTGATCATATCCTTGCTTAACACACTTGCTATTATAAACCTAGCTCCAAAGATTCCCCAAGCCAAAGGCAGCACAACTTGCTGCCAAAAGTCGTGATTTGCTCATTTTTGGCCTTCCCTGCATATACATCCTTTGTAAGCAGGAGATACAAGTGACATGAACCATTCAAACAAATGAGACTGCAGTTGAAAAGCCTAAACTTTTAGTTTTGGACTTGATGCCAGGTGTCCACAAAAGTTCTCCAGGAACATAGTCAGGGTCAACTTCAGGAGCTGTCCTAGGAGACAACCCCTTAAGAGACCACCAAACAAGTTTCAGACAACTCTTGAAGCAAAGCCAACATGTCTGGAAATAATATTTCAATCCCAGGGTCTTAGGCACCTTTGGGCGGCGACTCTCCTTCTCTCTGGGGATGCTGAGGTACTTCCTGTGCACTAGAGCTCAACTAGTAGAGCATGAGACAAAAAAAGGTACCACACAACACAATCACAGATATGAAAGGCAAGTCTCTTTGGAAATGCTGGTCGAGAAGACCTCAACCGACAGTTTTGTGGAAACCACACAAAAAATTTCATAGCTTGCAATAAGTTGAAATAGATTTCAGCAGCTGTACAGCTTTCAAATATTTGTCAAATATTTGCGCACATATTTCTGGTTCACTTCTCATTTGCACCCTAAGCAAATGACTTTGGGCTCTGCAATGGCCCCTTCTCCCTTGCATCCTGAGGTGCCTTCTGCTCTGAAATTGGCTGGGCCCTGATCAGGCACACAGTAGTGCTGGTATCTTGCTTCTGATATCATTGGCTGCACTGTTTTCACAAGCAAAGCAAATGCATTTGAAGAATTAACATTCTCAAAACAAAACCAACACCTTTAGGAACCAATATGAAAATGTTCACTCAAGAGAATGTCAAAGCTCTTGCATGCTGGGCACCTTTTGGGAGGAGGTTCCATTGGCCTAGATCCAACAAAACAATGTTAAAGCTCCATTTAATGCTGCCTAATCAACATGCCAATAAACCACCAGGAAGCCTTGATGGTGGTCTTTTGCCTTTGCTCTTGCCTTTGCTGCTGCCTTTGCACCTCAAAAGCAAAGAACTTCTTCAGGCACAAGCCAACATATGACTGGAAAGCAAAAATCCAAAATTGGTGTTTCAAAATTGCAATCAATGCCCAGCATATTTCTTTCACAAATGCAGCCATAGTTGCCCCTTCTTGGGACATGCTGCTTTAATAGCAGGCCTCATGCAATAGTCACACTGGAGCCTTCTTAATTTGGATTTTTTGCTGTAGAGATCTTTCATAGCAAAACTGCTTCAACTGGTCTCTATGTGAATTGTCTCTTTTTGTTTTCACAAAACTCATCAATGCCAACCAAGATTGAAAATAAAAATCAAAGACATGAAAGGTTGATAAACAATCCAGCTTCAAATCTTGTCCACATATATAGTACTATATTGTTTTCCCATACCCAAGCCAAAGCACTTGGAAGTTGTTGTTTCTGGGCAATGCTTTGCAGGAGTCCTGAGTTTTCCATCGAAGCAGCAAAGGATCAAATCTTTTAAATCCAGGTCTATACATATCTACAGTTACATGAACATGTGAGAGATCATCCAAAAAGCACAGCCAAACAATCACAGCAAGGTCCTTGGAGGGTTCTCTGGGCTCACAGGTCGCCTTGGGTGGTGCTTGCTTTGACTTGCTAGAAAAAACTGGATGCAAACAAAACCTTTCTTCAAGTGCTTAGGTTTGGGCTTCACTTTCAACTCTTCTTCAGTCTTGTTGATGGCCTCACCTTGAGACTGGCCAATGGTGCCACCAGATTGCCTGACATAAACACCAATCAAACCAATCAAAGAATACCAATCAAACCAATGAACATAGACCCAAGCCTGCAACTGGGTACCGGTAATGGCCTTCCAAGCAAAACATGAACAAGCTCTTTGCACCCCCTTCAACAACATGGACTGATAATCAAAGGTCAGAGTCAGACCCATCCAATACAAACAAATCTAAAACTGAACCAGCCTTCGAGGTGCAGAAGAAAAAGAAGGATCCACTGGCTGGGACATGGCAGAACCCTGGCTGGTGCAATATGGGTTGTTCCTTGGCCCACAGCATTGGGACCAAAGACAATGCAAATAAGTGACCTGAAAATAGCTCTGAACATGCATAACTTTAGCAAAGGCTCTGATTCACTGTTTTGGCAACTTCAACCTTCATAGGTTTGTGCCACCAAGACCAGACATCTGCAGTGATGTACTTGCCATTCAGCTGCTGTTCCATGAGCAGAGCATCTTCATGGTTGGAGCACCATACAAAAGCGCTTTGCTGGGCATAAACACTGGTCTTGGTTTTATTCTTCATCATGAAGACCCTCCCAGTGTGCTTGCACCCATAGGCCTTCAGCTCTGCCAGCAAATGATATTTGCTGAAGTCCCAAGGCAGATTGGCCACATAGCATCTGTCTTCCATGGGGTTGGATGCCATTTTTTCAAGAAACAATGCACAAAATTGTTTCAAAAATGCACAACCCTATTGTTTTGAAGCTAGCTGAAATTCCATTGCATGTGGTACATATAGAAAAAGTGAAAGTCACCTGTGTTTGCAGTATTTTGTGTCCTTCTCATGTTCTGAGAACTGCTTGCCTGAGCCGTGAAAATTGCAGTCACATCAGGTGCCCACTGCAATGCTGCTGCAACATTTTTTTGCATAAGCTCTGATACAAATACAAGAAAACACATGAAATTCAATTGAAGCCCACAAGATCAGCAATGCACACATAAAGCATCCACACTACATGCTCAGCAAAAAAAATGACCAAATACCTGGTAAGCAAACATTTGTTCAACAATGCTTGGCTGGTGACTTGTTGTACAAAAATATATCCATGAACATTTGTTGCACCAGCTTTTGTGCAATCATTAAAATGAAGCACTCACACAAGGTATCTGAAAATACATGGTATAGCCAAATAGTTCTTTACAATAGTTTCTGCCATGGGCAGCAAATACTTGGAGCAAATACTTGGAGCAAAAATATATGGTATAGCCAAACAGTTCTTTACAATAGTTTCTGCCATGGGCAGCAAATACTTGGAGCACATACTTGGAGCAAAATACATGGTATAGCCAAATAGTTCTTTACAATACTTTCTGCCATGGGCAGCAAATACTTGGAGCAAATACATGGTAGACAAATAGTTGTCCAAATGTAAATATCTTGGGCCAAACCTTTTTTTAGAGAATTTCAATAACCTGTGCCAATACATCAGCTGAATAAATGCACATTTCACATTTCTTTCTGTTGCAAGAAAGTCAAAGGCTTCACTCCTCAAGCAAAATTCCCAGGTTAATCTGCCTGGACACTTCCCTGGCAGCTTCCCTACCCTGTGCCTTGGCACTATTGGGTGTGAGACCCATCTTCTCTGCCAACTTCCTTGCCTTGTGATTGGCTGCTGATGTTGCCCGGTGCCTGAATGAGCACTTTGGCTTTGCCTTGGGAGCACTGGAGCTTGCCTTTGCTGTCTTCTTGGCTGCCTTTGCAGCACCCTTCTTAACCTTCTTGGTACCAGCCTTGGCCTTGGCCTTCCTGAGAAGAAATATCTGACACACAAAGGCTGTATCCACTGCATCCATGTCCAAATTTAGCAACCACACCATGTGTATTTCATAAAACACACCAGCATTTTGACAAGTCTCTTGCCAGGCAAGGTGGCTTTCTCCTTCTGTGGTTGTTTGCTCTCTGCATCAGTGCCTTCAGGTGCTTGCTTCCTGTGGCAAAGAACAATATTCAGAACAAATTTATTTTTGATATGTGTTTTTGCACAAATGTACAAATTACACACACCCCTGTCCTTTTCAAACCTTTCTTCTTTGTAGTGGCCACATCTTTCAGAAGGGCCTCCTCAGTAGATCCTCTTCATTGCTTGTCAAATCAGCAAGCTTTGCCTTTCTTGACCTTTCAGAGCTCTGCTGGGTTGGCTTCTTGCTGCTTGCTTCAGCCACCCATGGGACAAGAGCCACACAAGAAGGCTTGCCGCTTTTGGCCTGTGAGCTAGAAGCTTCAGCAGCCTGTGTCATCTTCTCTGGGGTGCTTGGCTTTTTGGACAAAATCCTTGTGAAAATGCTCAGCTCTGGCTTCTGCTTGGGCTTTGCAGCCTTCTCCTTGGGCTCTTCGGCTGGATGTGGCAACAAGACTTCACCCTGCTCCAAGCTGCCCTCACCTGGATCACCTCCCAAAGAGATCTTTTCAATCAAGTCATCCAAAACTTGCTTCTCCACAATGGAAGCCTTCCTCATGGTCCTCTGATACTGATCTGGCTTGGTGGCCAGTTCTCTCAATTGGGCTGCTGCTACCCTGATGTAAAGGCAAGCTTTGTCAATGAACTGATCATCTTTCATCCTGGTGAAATTGATCCTGTAATGATCCTTTTGGATCTTTGCTAAAGCTTCTGCCAGCTTTTTGGCTGGAAAGATGCATTTGGCATCTACTTTCAGCAAATTCTGCAGCAAAGGGGCCACATTGCAAAGCCATACTGGCAAAGGCCTTGTCTTCCATGAGACTTCACTTGAAGGCTCCAGCAAGGTCAAAAGATCCTTTTCACTTTTCTCTTTTAAGAACCCCATCACAGGCTTCATAAGATCTCTGACCCCCACAGATGGGTCAGGCTTCAACCTGGGGACAGGATCGCTGTTGGGTGGCATGATGCACACCTTGGTGCCCACAAGGCACTGCCAAACTTGATCAAAAAAGCTACAGCAGAGCCAAAACAATCCTTGCTCACAAATGCTTTCTCACAAATGCTTTCACAAATGCATTAAAATAAATTTGTCACCAAATGCACTGGAATGGTATAATGCTCAAATACATCTTGCAATATTTGCTCAAGTTAAAGGCCATGTGACATGCAAAGCCACAGCTGCTAAATAATTACATGTGTAAATATATATAGGAAATACACCACAAACATCTCACTTAGTCAATGGTTCCCAAATGCAGAAGCACTTTTTCATCATGTCACACTGTTCATCTTGCTTTCAAACATGAAAAACAAAAGAGGATTACACATATTCAGCAATGTGAAGCATATATTTTTCTAGTATACATAACCCTCAAAGAGCAGGTAACCTTAAAAATATTTCTTACAAATACATAACAAATGTTTCTTCAAAAGCAGAACAAATATCTCTACCAAAAGTTTGGGTATGTATGCCCAAACAAAGTATGATTTTCAAATAAGTTCTACAAATACATAACCAATATTTCCACAAATATTTAACCAATATTCCACCCAATGTTGGAGACATATGCCTTTTTACAATGTATGACTTTCAATCAAGTTCTACAAATATGTCCACCACAAACTTGACAAAAAATCATATGTTTTTTTGAAATGAATGATTTTTAAATGAATTCTGCAAATACATAACACCTGTTTCCACAAATAATTGACCAAATACTTCAAGTTTGTTCTCCCACAGACAAAGCATGATAAGCATCAACCATTCCAGGCTGCATGTGGAATTTCAAAACTCAAACCATTGCATGCCTTGGGAAGAATGTTTTCAACACTTTTGACATCACTATTTTCCACATTATCAAACTTGCTTGAGGCTATAACAATTGATAACCTCAAGCTTTGAGGTTAAGGTTATTCTATATAATAACCACCTTGAGGTTATTAATAGCCTCAAAAAAAAGAATAACCTCAAAGGTTCTTTTTAACCTCGGCTGATCTATAGGGTGCCAATTTGGCGAATCTGAACTCGAAACAAGTCTGGATTTCCCGACGCGTCTCGGGCTTGCTCCGAGGCTGGGAGCATAGTAAACAATCCTGGCACAAGGTGCAGCCTCCGAGCTTCGACGCTGGGCTGTGGATGGATTTTGGCAAGGTGTACTCGTTCATCAAGCGGAAGTACGATGTCAACCTTACCAACGATGAACTGCTGACGGTCATTACATCCAATCAAAGATTCATGCTCGAGGTGAGGATTGCGCCAAAGGGGACTTTGGTCGGTGGAAAATACCAATATACACCTCTCCGGATCAAAGCGATTCAGAACCATAATGAATGGTCAAGCAACAACGTGCAGGACGCACTTCCTGAGCATGAACGCTTTGTCACTCTCGACGAGGAGTATACTTCGGTGGAATACCAGGCCGGCAAATTCCCTCGGGTTCCGCGAGGTGCGCTGGGAAAGGTGAAGGAGGTGGCCCCCACCATCCTCTATCACTACACGCACCGGGCAGCACTGGTTGAGATCATCAACATGGGATTGATTCCAGGCGGCAATCGAACTGGAGCCAGGTTCACATTCTTGACGAAGGAAGATCCGTGGACAATTTCGGGCACTGATTATGCAGCGATGGCGGCGACTCGCCCCATCTGCGTTGCCTTGGATCTCCAGATGATGATGTTGAACGGGCACCGGCTCATAGAGACAACTGCTGGTACAATCCTATGCCCTGACTGGCTGGCAAACCGGAACGTGATTTACGTGTATGACATGGAATCCCGATGCTACGCCTTCGCGAACCATGTGTACGCACACTATCGCGGCATCATTACCGGTGAAACCAAAGCCTTCAATTCAGCACGCACTGGGGGACCAGTTGCCGATGACGATGAAATGGTGAAAAGCCCACTGGAAAAGTACACCTACCAGGTCCTTGGTGACTATGAGAGATGGTGTGGTAAGGTGGACACCTTTTCCCCATTCGTGTACGGTGAACTGTTTGAACGCCCAGGCGTGAAAGACCAAATGGTATCAGGAAAGCAGAATCCTGATTTAGAAACATACGAGGTCACGTATGTCGTTCGCAGGCCCAATTTCAACGCCTATAGGAACCAAGTGTCGCCCAAAGAGATGCTGCCCAACTACAACCGACCTCGGTTTGATTGGCGCAAGATCCACCCCGAGACTGAGGGTTATGGCAACACTCGATGGATGGTCGTTGAGGGCATTCAGATGCCAGAAGACCAGTGCCCGACATGCACACATACCTACACCCATGGCATGATGTCCTGCATCACATGCGGCACCTTCCTCAACAATGCCTCGGATCTGTGTAAAGCTGCTCAGCTCATTCGGATCGAGGAAATTGCATCCGATCTCGGTATCGAAGTCACAATGGACATGGTACCTGAGGACAGGCTGCAAGGAACAGGTGTGAGGAGGACGCCGGCGGGGACGCCTGGCCATGAAGTTCAACGTGCTTCTCGTTCGGGCATCAACATCTTGAAAGCGAACGCCAAAAGCCATGTCCAGAAGGCGGATAAAATGTCCATGACAGTATCGCAGCGACAGCTGACTGACGCTTTCTACGCGTTCAACTGTGCGGCCCAGGACCTCTCTCCAATCTGCATTCAATTCCTGGAACGCCTATCAGATGCCGTCATCCCTGACCCTCCGAGGACAAGGGAAATGATTGCTCGAGGCGTCGGTCATCGATACGCTGGAAAAGTCATCTTCATGAACGAACCAGCAAAAGGGAATGATGCTGACCTGAGCGAGGACTTCTTCATTTATTGGAAGAACAGGCTGCACCGACCTGAGACTTTCGCTGCGGACTATTGTCAAGGTACAAAACGACCCGCAATCTTGGGATTTGGAGGTGAGTGGCGAAGTGAGAAGACAGACCCTGATGACATATTGGATGAACTCCTGGAATTCGTGATGGGCGATGCTCAATTTGTACCTGGCTTGGATATCAACCTTGTGAAAGAAACAAGGGCACTTGTGATTCCCAAGGCCAAGGCCGCACCAGGTCCAGGTGAAAGTCTGGCCAGAGCAACACGTACTCAAGCCGAGACATCAGAGCATCGCTGGCGAGGAGCTGCCGGAAGTGATCAATACCATGATTGGCAGCAGTCATCCTCATCGTCTTCCTGGTGGTCCTCATCCAACCGCAACTGGTGGCAAGATGATCGCGGTCGTGGCAGTGACTGGCGAGGACATGACTGGTGGAGTCAGCGCAGGTGGTGAACACGACGCACAGCGGGAGCTGTTGCCTGTGGAGAAGAGAATGAAATCTACGGGTGACTTGGCTATCTTTGTGCACTGTGTTTTTCCCTCAACGCACCGCGGGAGCGGTTGCCTGGATGACCGTTTCTGTGATGCACCGGGGGACCGGATGCCTGAAACCAGCAGCTAATTCGTTTGAGTTCAGGTCGATGAACTTGGCTCTCAATCCTTGCAATGAAGAGCGCACATCTTTTGCTGTGTTTTGTCGCCACGCGGGAGCGTGTGCCTTGATGGCTTTGTTCCTGCTTTCTAAAAGGTTGGCATTGCACTCCCAGTTCCGCTGCGCAAAAGAGATTATCTTTGTGAGCTTGCTTTGAACTTTCATGCATGAATCAGTTGAGACATGTTCAACCCTAGCATCAAAGCATGACAGTGCATTATGTTATCCGGCCTTGAGGTCAACCATCCTCTCCATCTCAAGGCACGTTCCGGTTCGATGCTTCGCACGTACCGGGGGACCGGATACCTTCGTAGGTCCTTAATTAGTGCACTGTACATAACTTCACTCCTCCCATTTTCGTTCAGCGGGGGGTGTTGTTTCACGCTAGGATGTCAAATACATGTCTCACTTATCTACGTTTGGCTCAAGGAAAACCAGGTGCGACTTGTTGGTAGTTCTCGGTCGTTTACCTGTAACTACAGCTAGCAATCTATGCGAATCATCAACACCTTGGTAGGGTCTGGTAGAGGAAAATGATTTATCCACTTCCATCTGATGCTTCTGGAGGGAGGGTAGATGGGTCGATCTTCACCTCTTTGCGTCGCTGGCTTCCGCGACGCGAGATCCGTGCGGAGGGAATCCGGTCCGCCTGTAGTGTGCGTCACTGGGAGAGGTGAAGAGCGGTGTGCAAAAGGCCTAGGTGACCATGTTTTACGATGTAAATGTCTGGGGTGTAGTGCAATCATCAACATTCTACATGACAAAAAACCCGGGACATCACCATCATGTCATGAAAGAAGGGTCAGATTTATGATGTTTCATATGTGATTAACGTTGATTAGAATATATTACCCAGACACTCCATGTATGCCATATATGCCTACATTGGGGTGGTCTTGGGGGTCAATGTAGGCATACATTGCATACATGGAGTGTCTGGGAAAGTTGATTAGAATGTGTTGAATGTTGAGGAATGCTTATAGGAATTGCCCTGATGGCGCCCTGCCCATTTCTCCAACTGCTTTGTGGCCCTGTGACCGTGACGACTGTGTCTCTGATTGACAAGATCTTGGTTTCATGACTTTCTCATCTTCAAGTTGATTCCTCTGGCGTCCAAAATCCATGGTGGTCCCATTTCGTGCCCATTTGGTCGCAGTCTTTGGAAGGGGAGGACCCCCCTGCTTCCAGATGACAGTAGCGTTCATGTTGTTTGGACATGAGTTGAATGTGGACCTTGACTCCCAAGCGTCGTGTCCACCAGAAACTAGCGACGCATCAGGTTTTTTTCGTGCATGGAAAGCTGATTATTTCCACCTGACAATGTAGAGGTTCTTGAGACACTGCCACCAGGATTTTAAAACCTTTCATTCCGCATATATAATTGCTGGACAATAACTTCCCACTGAGGATGGATGTCCGTCGCAATGACCCTGCGTCCATTGAAAAGGCCGGGCTCACTGATGTTGAAGAAAAGGCTCCCCTAGGCTCTTTGTTTTTGTTTTGATGAGGTGAGAAGGTTCCTACTATATAAATAGGAAGCTGACATTGGCTGACATGTGTTTTTGTGCTTGATGTTTTTGTGTGTGCGTGATTCCAATTATTGAATCTTTGCTTTGAAGCATTGGGAGAGTAGATGTTGGGGCCCTCGCTCGGTGTGACGAGTTGGTGGTTAACTTGGCTGCCCGCAGCAGCGTCTGAGCTGGAGGGGAAGAGTGAGGTCTGTGATGTCCAAGGTGCTTTTCTCTAAGTAGTGACCGTAAGATACATTTACACACATTGAAGATATACACTGCCCGATCCTCTTTGAAGATGTTGGAATTTGTATCTAATTACTGTATGTTTTGTGCAACACCCACAGGAGACACCGTAGACCCATCCCCACGGTTGTTTGACCAGGCACTTGAGGTGTTGCTGGCCTCTCAGAGTGGGGAAGTCTGCGGAATTGGACACCGGGCATGGATCACAAGAATGCTCTCCAAAGTTTTGCAAGGAAAAAGAACAATTCCTAATGAAAACATGTACTTTAAGTTGTTTGGTCTATTTGGAACATACTACTTGCTTGGAGCTATTGCAAGCTGCAAGCGGCCTCAACAAAGAAGCAAGCTGTAGCTTGCATAGCCAGCCAAGCAAAAGAAGACCCTGATCCGAATGAAAGAGATCCCTAGCATGCTCTCGCAAGCTGGTTCTGGCAGGTCCTATGCAGGTCCCTAGCATGCTTGCACACGTTTTTTGCACTGGTGATGGGATCCGCCGTGTGGGACCTGCCGTCGGATCCCCGTGTGGAGCCGAACGTGGCAAACCGGTCCGGATGGGAATATGTCACCGGATCTGTTTCCCCCCCCTAGCCTTCAAGGATCTTCAAAGATCACCAAAAACAGGTGGGCCTGGTGACCTGCCGTCTAATGATTATGAATTCTCATAAAAGCTATATGGTTGATGGGCCAAAGGCCAATACCACCAATAATTCTTGGACTCCCCTTTTGGCTTCGCCCAAAAAGCGTGCCTGTCCGGTCAAAACCGCCTCCTTCCCCGAAAGCCCGGTCTGGAACCCCTCGTGGTCCACACGGGGCGCATCTGGGCGGATCCCGAGGTTGGCGTGGAAGGAGAAAGCGATGTCCGGGGCCCCATGGGGGCTCCGAAACTGACAGAGGAAGGACATGGAAGAAGAAATTGAGGATCACCCTGCCCAAGATGTTTTTGATGGTTTTGGGTGCGGATTGGCGCAACCCCACGAAAGTGCTATATACTTGGTTTTTAGTTTCGTTAACTGGATACCTGACGATACAAACCATGTTGCGTGGCTGCTGGTAAGATGATTGTTTTCCCCAGCAAGTCGACACCACATGAAGTGTTTTCTTTGCCTCACGGTCCTCGGCGGTCTTCAGTGCATGCTTTATGTGAGGTCTCTTGTGGATGGCTTAGGGATGCCAGAGCACAGCTTGCTAAATGTTTGATTGTTACCACCAGCCACCACATAGGTAGGCATTGATGCATGCTTTTGTAGGTGGAAATTGCCCACTATATCCAAGTATATATTATAGACTCCGTCGACCGTTGATTTTATACGACAACCAGATGTGCTCTCCGAGTCATTAACATGGAAAACCACCTGTGTGTAGAGATAGAACATGAGCCCATGTTCCACTTTCATGATTGTTTCAGGGAGTGTATGGGGAAAATTGTCCACCGGGTCACTTTTCAGCTGTAGAACTCATTCTGCATTTGGGGATTCTTCCTTCCATCCATCAACTGGTCCACCGTACTGCAATGACTTCCAGTATGACTTCCCCCTTAGCTCCTTCAGCACACCTTCCAAACCTTTGCTCCTTAAGCCACGTTGGGCGGCGCCACGCTGGGTGCCGCCCTGGAACCAGGGTGTGCAACAACTCGGTGCAGACGCTGATCATCAACAAGGCCGGTTCGCCGCGCTGTTCTCGGTGCGCCCGCCGAAACCTCGCGGCTGGTTGAACAGTTGGACAGGTTCCGGCATGTTCCGCTGTAGTCTTCCAGTGGTGAGTGAGAAGTGAGCAGGGTAGTGAGCAGTGATTATGAAAAATCCATAGACATGAACTTTCATGAAGTCCCTGGAGGTTCGCCATCTCACTCCTAGGTGTTTCAAAGGCATTGCTCACCCACCCCCTAAGTTGTGCCACCCCATTTTGGAGTTGTTTAATTTATTTTTTTGTATCCTATTGACATTGCTTGTCTCACGATCAAATCTTGGACCAGAGGTGACCTGCTTAACTTGGACCTGCAGAGAAAAAGACTGGCTCGGACTCCGCAGCTTTTTCTGGGGACATCCTGGGCTTGCCGAATCTCGTGTGCCACTCCTGGGCTTTTCAGTCGCGATCCGACACCTGCAGTGCCTCGGCTGATTGACGACTGAAGACCGTTTGGTCAGGCCGAAACCGGTGGCGGGGGCTTGAAGGGATTGGATTCATTCGTTTTTGTGATTTACAGTTGATTTATATACGTTTTGTTTGGCACTTGCTTCTTTGATCCACCGCATGCATGTGTTGTGGAAGTCTCGTAAGCTGTTTTGATTGTGGAGGATTCGGCAAAGAGGGAAGGCAGCCGCAAAGATCGTGTTCCCAAGATGACTAGGGTGTCCAGCATGTACAAAGTATATAATATAGACGTTTTCAAAACCGTCACCCTTGCCCTGCAGGTCTTTCTCACATGGATCTTAAAGTAATAACATAATAATAACAAGTATATATGTAATATATATATATATCATATATTTTTCTTTATCTATTTAAACTATGTAAACTTGTAATATTCATTCAGTGGCACCTCCTTTTCGGCGCTCCAAAAACGCCAACCAACCACTCACCCTCCTCGTGTCCGTTCAGTTGGATCTGCCCCACAAGGACCGATGTCGCTCAAGGAGACGGTGCCCTTTGAGAAGCGCGCAGCGGAGGCGCAGAGGATCCTGAGCCCCTTGGGACCGCAGAGAGGGGGAGCATTTTCTGCTGCAACGTTCATGCGTTCGCTGCAGGAGGTGTTTCGTGTATTTTTGTTTTTTTTTTAATTATTGTTTTTTATGTTAGACTTTGTCTGTGGAAAAAGCCAGTGATATCACGTGGTATTTTGTTTGTTTCGTGTGCCTAAGTGCAGATTGTAATTAGACAGGTGGATGTTTTGTGAATTTGTTCTGTTTTGGCACATCCACCCAATTTGCCAATCACTCGGACGAAGGCCAAACGTGCCACCGGACTTGGGTGTTCTACTGGGGGCCTCCCGGACGGCCTCCCGCTGCGCCCTAGGCAAGTACCCGGACCGGGTTCCGGTGATTTGCGAGAAGGCAGTGACCGCGGGTGGCATGGGTGGAAAGAGGTTGGAATGATTGAGCCAAAGAAGAGCTAGAGATGTGATGCATTTGGTTATGTTGGGGTTGGGGTTGGGGTTGGGGTTGGGGTTGGGGTTGGGGTTGG